AGGCTGACTAAATATTCTCTTCGATTGAAAAAATCTTCCGATTGCAAAGCACAATTTACAGACTTCCTTTATCCTTTTTTGCTTCTTCATTGTATCTCTTTCAATTTTTTAGCTCGTTAAAGTCAAGAATAACAGTGGTGATATTTTTTTGTCGGAGAGACACGTTTCATTTTAATGCGGTACTGCTTAACTCACATGTAAATTTTAAGCATCTGCTGAATTGGCGTGAATTTTCATTGACACGTTAAATTTTAGAAAAGGAAGGAATATATCGGCACGTTCCGTAAATGGAAATACATATTATGAGAAAACATACGTAAAATATCTTTCTCATTATTAGTACCATTGTCGTTTAATTATTATCTAATTAATCTAATTAATCATTATTTAATTATTTTTTACCATGCGAATCTGTTTTATTTTATTAATCGAACACTAATCATAATGACGAATTAATCGGTTATTCTAAGTATATTTGACAGAATTCGAAATTTATTGCAAATTTATCTTATTTTCGATCGTAGCAAATAGATAATAAATAAAAATTAATAGAAATAAAAAATTGCGACAAAAGAAAGTGTGACGTGCATTCATGTTATTCTATACGACACGAATTCTATCGTTATCGCCCCTACCTGACACGACCGGATCCTCGGCAGTTATGCAATGAAGAGATTATATTTTGCCTCGTTCCACTCTTTAGCCTTGTCACCTTCATGTCTATGCACCGCCTTTAAGGCTACATGCGCACTGTCAACCAGCCATCAGCGACCAGGTTGACAAATGACTAAAAAATCAGCCCACCAAACTGAGTGACCAACTCGGCAACTCGAATTTATCAGTATTGTAGCGATCATCGAACGGAATAGATATAGAGGAGAGTGTTATAATAATGAAAGCTACTTTAAAAAAAAAATATTGTGTGATTTTTTTATTATAAGAATACCGTACAAAAGAAATATTCAAATAATTTCTTGAAGACATCAGAAGTATAAATCTCCCCTTGCCACTAGGAGTGGTTCTTCACCTTCAATTTGCCATTAAGGCAGTTTAATATTTTAGAATTTTTGAATAAAGAAAAAGAAATTTTCCAGAATTGCATTTGATAGCTAAAATTATTTTAAGACTCGGGTCTCTTGCAGATTAAATTTGCCAAAGTCTGTTCTCCAAGAAAGTTTTTTGTAGTGAGAACATTGAATTCGATTCAATGTATTTCACTAATCGCAACGACCAGCAAGTTGCACGTGTTTTTCTAGTTGATGTCAACCAACTGCTTACCGTGATTAAGTGCGTATGCGCTCATATATTCCTTTCAATTTAATGTTCGATAGTACTCATGTAATTTGACAGTCACTCTCAACCGTCATTATAATCGTCGTTTCTAATATTTCTAACTTATAATTGAACGAATAAATTGAATTGTAAATTTGTCTTCTTTCTTTCTTCTCTATTTCCTTTCTGTTTTTTCCATTGTTTCTTTCTTCTTCATTCTTGTATATCTACGGCAACGATACGTATTAGTTCTTTTCTAATACACATTGGTTCGAGAAAAAATAAAAAACTAATAAAAGATCGTATCGAACCGATTTTTTTATTCCCGAGGTGACCGATTGAGATGAAAAGTCGTTCGTTATCGACGTGCAAGAATAGGCATTCGAATGAGGTATTCGAAAATAGACGCAAACTGGTGCACGGGTGGTCGGGGCAAAGAAGATAGGAGGGAGTGGCCAAGGATCGACGATCTCTCACTATCAGTGGCACTTAATTGCAATGCGCGACGCGACATGTGTCACGGCGTAGTACCGACCGGTCACGTACTAGAATCGATTACATCGACGACAAACGAATCTACGAGCGTGCTCTTCTACGTGTTCGTTGACACTCTTAAGACTAACGAAGAGGGGAGGGGAGAGAGAGAGAGATAGAGTACAGTACATAATACGTAACATACGGTTATCATACGGTGATGTGAGCTAGTAATTTCAAATTTATGATTTTTATATCCAACTACTTAACGTATATTGATTTTGTCATCAGTTCCTAACAATTAAATCCTGATAGACTTAATAGTTAAGTCCTAAAGATCAAGTAACATCGTTTTTTAATCCTGATTAGTGAATGAATCGTTGATTAATGCGATATTTGTTTTTACGTTTTTAATATGACTTGTTTGCGAATTTAATATAAATTTGTTAATATTTCTTTCAAAAGACCATGAATTCCGTAAATAGATTAACAATCGTCTTCATTAACTTATGTATGCATTGTACTTATATTTGTATGTGCGTACCATCTGATATAAAAGTCTATTAACGACAATGCACGATGATAGTTGCCTGGATACAAACTCGGCTTTGAGGTTATCCGCAAGGACGTCCACATAACTCGTGCTCAGTATTAACTCAAGCCGATTGACTTGTGTCAATTCGAAAGTGCAAGATGGATCGTTTCGGCTTCTCGATTTCCTCGCACTCGCAATTTCGTTAAATTTAAATTACCCAAAGAGCTTCGCTTTTTGAACTATTAACATAACGAAGACGAGTCTATTTTTTGCAAAATTCACTTCTAATTTTTATTAATATTGAAAATTCTATCATCTTGATAAACATTTGAAAAAGTAGATATAAAAGAATATACGAGAGGAGATACGATATGTACAACCAATTGTTATTTAACGACGTTTCGTTCTTATTTAATAGAAGCAACCATTTTGAGTCGCAACAAAATTTTTGGCAAAAATAGCAAAACTATAATAATAGTGGGATTAATAGTGGGAGTGCGCACTTCCGTTTAATACAAGTAGACATTCTTAGAGAATTTGACCGAAGGTCTGTATAGCTAATTAGAGCAGCTGCCCAGAAAGCGGAAGATCCGGGTTTTCGAATCTCGATCCCAAACTACCTGACGATCTAACTTTTATCACTTATCCTATAATTATATTTAATCGTGAAAAAAAAATTGAAGTAGTTTATTAAAACCCGAACATTCGATACATACTTACATACATCTTAATAAATCATTAATTAAAAGAAATATGGTGGACTATAATGTCAAAATAACACCATCGCGAAACAACTTGTTCTTTTTCTGAATATCGAATACAGCAATATCACAACTTCTTTTTAATCATCGAATGAGAAAATTTAGGAAGAATTGTGCGGATGCGACGACTGTCGCACGAAATTATACATAAATTCACGTACGAGTAAGTAAAAACTTGCCATTGGATAGAAAGAACATTGTAAAATTGCTTTAGTCATAGCTCTGATAAAACTATCATTTATCTTGCACGTACTTATATGTTCTTTTGCATTTCTTTTGTTTCCGGAAAAAAAGAAAACCTGTTTGACGAAAAGCATGATAGGTAAAAATAAAAAAACGATCTATTCGAATGTAACTTTTTTCAATTTGTGACTTTAGGATAATCCGTTGTAACAAGCAGATCTATAATGATTCGTACAAATTATGAAAACGTAGAAATACACATTCGACTTGCTCATATTGGTAAAAAATAAATATTGCTCGTATTTCGCTACTCTAAAAAGAACAATGCAATTGTTTACTATAGAAGATAATATTTCGAATTACAGTAATGAAAACTTATCAAGGCTAGGTGTTGAAGTTGAACTTTAATGACATCGGGCTTTGTTTAAAAATGTCTTTGACGGCTTTGACGTCACGCACAAGATACTCGCTTGGAATACTTACGAAAAATATAAGATAAAGCACGTTCGATCGGCTTCGATCATTATGATTTTTACGAGAAATCCCAATTGTCAGGTGCACATAAGTACGTAATATGTAGATGAGTACGTAGCAGGTAGGTTCCTATCATTAACAAATAACAGATGAAAGATAAATATAAAGTCTTATTCCCACTGAAATAACAATGAGGAATTTGTTGTAATCTCTTATTGGTACATATTCCGAAACATTTTTAACAAACAGCAACTTATAGAAATATTTTGTCCATACCATAGTAATATAATTTGAGGAACATTTGTATTTTGTTCTGTTTTTTTCGGTTTCAAGACTGTATTTGCGTACACATTAAGGAGCATTCGTTTCTATTATATTACCACGTGAGTTTTCGTGTTTCATATTTTTCTTTGATTTTTACTGCTCTGAATGGGAAGAGACAATAAGCGGCGATATTTGCTGCTGACAACAGAAATCTGGAAAAACATTTGATAACAACAGCGAGTTTTTCAAGATACATGGAACAACAACAAAAAATTCCTCGTTGCTTTAATGAGGACAAGACTTAAAGCGAACAATAGCGACAGCCAGTGATCTGGCAATCAAACTGGCACAGGAAATCCTATACGTCAATATATAGCTGGATAGTATTCTCTCTTATGTATTATAACGAATGACGCGTACGTGCGAACGACGCAGCGATAGTGGTGATGGAGACATATTGCCATAATCTGCTCGCATCGCTTCTATGAAAGATACGAGAAAATTGCATAAATATAATCAACATTTAAACAAGAATGAATCGCCGAGGTAGCCACCGAGTCTCTTTTAAGTGGTACTACGCTAATAATTGTACGCACACATGCAAATCGTTTTCATCAAGTATTATCGATAGCAAGGATGGTTGATGTTCTTTCAAACGTTAGAGAAAACAGTAAACAGCGTCTTAAACGAGTCCAAACTTACTTTTTCGATATATCGTGTCAGTATAACGTGTCATACATACATCATTTTTCATTATCGGATAATCACCTTGGAAGTTATACACAATTCATAAGTGAGTCATGCATGAATTTTCATCATCTGTACGAGTTGGAAATAATAGTCGACTCGCTTCGATATTAAAACTTGGATGTCTCGATTGTCTAACGACGATTTATCGATACAAAAGTTCTTTAAATACAACAATCCTTGTACTTTTACAATTTTTATAACGTAAGTTCATTTGACTATACTAAAACGTATCTTTATTGCATAGGGAAAAGATAAATATTAAAAAGTTATTTGTTACTTTTTTGCAGGTAGCTGAAACGTAAAATGGTGGCTTCGCAGAACGATGGCGGTAGAAGTGTGGGCGGTGGTGGAAGCGATACCGTTTACACAGTGACGGTAAGCGGTGTAGGTTATAGGAACGAAGGTTACAAAGATGATGGTACCGATTGTATTCCACCGGAGCCTCAAAAACCACCACAGCTACCTCAAACGGAAGATGATACTCAATCGAGGAAATTCAAACTTTCCCGTGGCGAGAAGTGGCGGATTTTGAAGAATATTGGGACCGTTTCGATAGCGTTCATGGTGCAGTTCACGGCATTCCAAGGCACAGCGAACCTTCAGTCGTCAATAAATGCAAGCGACGGCCTCGGTACCGTCTCTCTTTCGGCAATTTACGCGGCCCTTGTGCTCTCTTGTATTTTCGTACCGACTTTTCTCATCAAAAGGTTAACCGTTAAATGGACGCTTTGTCTTTCGATGCTTTGTTACGCACCTTACATCGGTTCTCAGTTTTATCCAAGATTTTACACCCTTGTGCCGGCTGGCGTTTTGCTCGGTCTTGGTGCCGCACCTATGTGGGCAGCAAAGGCTACCTATCTCACGCAGGTCGGTGGTGTTTACGCAAAACTCACGGACCAACCGGTCGACGCGATTGTCGTCAGGTTCTTTGGCTTTTTCTTTCTTGCTTGGCAAACCGCAGAACTCTGGGGAAATCTTATATCTTCGCTGGGTAAGTTCTTTTATCTTTTCACTTCTTTCCATCTTTCGATCCTGTTTATTATAGTTTAACTGTATATATCTATGTGCTTTCTTTTTATTTTACTATCTTCTCTGGTTATTCAGAGATTTCAATGAATGGATAAAGAAGGTCGTATCTAGCGGAGCGCCAGCGCGTCGATTAGTATTAAAGTAGTTCATCACTGATTCAAGGAAGTCAGACGATGACCGATCAAACGCAAGCCTTTTCCCTGCAAAGGCCATGCTCACGCACGAGGTTGTTATACACACGTTACTCGCGTATACATCTCACAAACGACGCGATGTGTGTCTGTGTTGTGAAAGAGAGATAGATAGAGAGAGAGAGAGAGAGAGAGAGAGAGAGAGAGAGAGAGAGAGAGAGAGAGAGAGAGAAAAAGAAAGAGTGAGTGAGAGCGATAAGGAACGCGAGAAGAAACAAGATTTATCCGGTATAAACTTGCGATAGTCGGTTTCCGTACCACTTCGTACACATTCTCCGATACCGTCGGTTACCAATAATCCTATCCTTTCTTTTTTTCTCGATTTCTTTTCTTTGTTCGTCGATCTCTCTATCGTCTAATAAAGTGAAACAAAGAATAGATAGATATTTTTAAATAAAAATGCTCTAGTCAAAGTGTACTTTTAATTTTCTAATTAAGAATAGTAAAAATAAATTCATCGAAGCGGAAAGATTCTTTCTTGAAATCAAAATTCCTCGATCAATTTAAATTTCCACGCTGTGATATGTTAATCGTTACCGTTAACAAAGTATAGAATTTAAAGCGGATGCTCAGACGAGTTGAACGGGAAAAAATCTTTAAAAACGGCATAATATTATTAGCATCGTTACCACGGTGAAAGTTCTTTTCTCTTCAAATGTCGAGTTCTCGTATTTATCGTACTCACGGGTGTTGGCCCACGCGAATTTCAGAACGGCATTTGAGCTTCGCGCGCACGGAATATGATTAGTTCCCGATATACTAATTTAAATATTTTGTGAAAATTCGGTAGAGTAACAGAGCTCGATATAAGAGAACTAAAATTATTATTAGGAGTATTTATAAATAATTATTTCGAAGTTAAACACACATATAATATACAATTTTTTTAAATTAGTTTCTAATCAATTACATATTCGTCATTATTATCCATTTCTTCGGCAAATTTTCAATTCCTCTCTTATAAAAAATTACTGGTTAAGATGAAAAATATAATTCGATTTCATGAAAGTGTTTTAACATTGTCGATCAAATTCAACGTTAGCACTAATTGATTTTCAAAAGGTCCCTATAGATATCATAAATTATTATTACTGCGGTTCTTATATTTAATCCTGATCAAAAATGAAATAACATGCAATAACGTATATATTCTTCTGAAGGTTAGTCATTTGGTTTTGAAATAAGAGAAACCTTTTTTTTTTAAACTATAAATCATCAATTTACTTTACAATATATGGCAACAAAATATATCTTCACATATCAAAGACTTAAGTCGAACTGAAGCTAAATTACTTATTAAAAAAAAAATTGACGACTTATGATCCTTATTATTAAATGATAATTAGGTTATTTTTATATAAATGAGATGATTAAAATGGAAATAAATGAATGTCATATTTTTCGTCATAGAAATTTTCATCATTACGTTTTATCGTTTCTTTGCTTCTTTCTTTTTATGAAGACTTTGAAGAAGAATTTGTACCTATAAATGTTATGCGTTTTTTCAACAGATTTTTTCAATAGATACGTTCTAAAAAGACTTCTCAAAAGTTACAAAAAATGCGATCCTAATATCCGAGAAGAATTCAATTAGAGACACGTTCGTCTCGAAGGAAAATAAAAGTTTAACACGTTTCAATTATCATGCTCGATAATTCTTACACACAACGAGAAGAGAATCGAGGTGGCTTGGCAGTCTCTTCGATATGAGTTCGAATCGAAGGTTCAATCTTGAAATTGTTTTTATGATTTAAATGTATAGTTTCGTATCAAGTTATAGTATATGTAGAAATCAATTAATATCTGTGTATACCACTTATGCCATATTTTGTCGTAATTTTGCTATATTTCGCGAATGTATAAAATTACCTTTTTCGATGAATGATTTTTAATTGTGGATATGATGACTTTATTTCTTTATTTTATAATATAATGAGCTGACATTACACTCGAATTCGTTAGCATGCGGTTTCTCTTATCATGATTGACTTAAATAACATATTTTTTCATCAGTTTTTAAGAAATCATCATATATTTGTACAATTGTTATTAGTGTCGCAAGGAAATTAGGCTTATAATTGTTCGGGTTTAGATTTTTATATTATAATAGTTTCTTATAAGATAATGAAATAAAATTTCATTAAATAAATTTAGTATCTTAAGAAATAAAACAATTTGTCGTAGAGTCGGTCTTTTTGCTCAAGACAATATTTTTATTTGCTACTCGTAATAACTTGTAACAAATTTCTCATGATAAAAATGTGTTAAAAACAACTTGGTTCAATTTCCTCGAAATATTGAAGCATTCGTAAGAACAGAAACGACGGAAATTGAACGGAAGACAGAATCATCTCGTCTCTCTCATTCAGTACGTGGCTTTTATTGTACACGAACAAGTTCGTTGTTTATCATTTTTCACATTGTTTATTTTTTTTCACGTTATCGAGCCTCGAACGAAAAGATCCTTCTAGAAAACTCGAAGTAAATGCCAGGAAACGATACGACGGATGAGAGCGCACGTTGATCGTTTCCTTCTTTGCATAGCCGTGTATGTACGGGCAAGCGTTTATACAGCTGCGAATGAAACGCTTTCTTGTTATCGTTACGAGTACGCCACTATACCATATACCTACACGATAAGTCGAGAGATTTGCGAATTTTCCATCGATTGCCGAAAGTTTATTTTCTTATATTTCGAATGAAAGTAACGTGGAAAATAGTTGTGATTTCCATTTGAACGAAGAAAAATATCGTTTCTATAGATATTAACTGGAAAGAAAAAAAATTATTAAATTTATTAAAAAGAGAAAAAGAGAAGTGGGAAGTTGATGGAGAGACGGAATGATTCTGAAACGATCGTAGAACGATCTTCGATTGTGTCACGTATAATATAAATTATTACGAGCGTAATACCGTTGATTACCATGAACGACGAGACATCGGTCTAACCGTGACATCGATATCTCGCGATCACCTGAAACATGGAGAGAGTCAGCAAGCACAATCGATTTACGATCGGCTAACACGTCTGAAGCGTGCATAACGAGACACAGTATCGCATATCCTCGAGGATTGTAGTAGTACTTGATGATGCAACCTCGTATAAGATCTCTCTCTTTCTCTCTCTTTCTCTCTCTTTTTCTCTCTTTTTCTCTCTTTTTCTCTCTTTTTCTCTCTCTCTCTCTCTCTCTTTTCCTCTCTCTTTCTCTCTTTCTCTCTCTCTCTCTCTCCCCCTCTCTCTCTCTCTCTCTCTCTCTCTCTCTCTCTTTCTCTCTCGTTCTCTTTTTCTTTCTATGTATCGTAGTAATATCATCACTTCGCTGGATGAAACTTAACCGTTGAGTTATCGATTTATAGAATGTCGTTATAGTTGATATAGCCATGTTTCAAGCTGTACTTGAGAACACGACACCTCTATAGGATACGATCAAGATAGTGGTGATTTCCGGTGTAATCCTGTAATCAACCTTTTCGATCTTTTCTCTCGGTCCGCACATTACCTTGACGACGGAATTATCAATTAAGCGCGTACGACACGTATCTACGTATAAATTAATGCAATCGTAATGTGAAAAGCATTCGTTTCTTCGAATATAGCCTTACGATTTCTCTTTACATTTATACTTCTATGTGCTATTATTTATCTTATTATTTATCCCTTTATGCATAGTTCCAATATTTCTCAATACAATTATGAACAAAATAAAATTATCTATTTCTAGTCTTGAGTGAGGGAGAATTCGGTAGCAGCAGTGGCAATAGTACGACTAGCTGGAACAAGATAAAGCTCTGTGGTGCCGAATTTTGCGTTCTTGGTAATGGAGCGCACGAAAACTTAGAGAGACCCCCGGAATCGGAGATTTACGAAATCTCCTCGATCTATTTGACATGCGTCATCGTCGCGGTGATCATCGTCGCTCTTTTCGTCGATCCTCTATCAAGGTGAGTCTTTAATGAAATATCTTATTATCCATTTTTACCCAACCTTATTTCATTTTGGTCATAATATTCTTAAGAATTTATAGAGCTTATTAATAGATTAGAACTTATATATAGAACTTAAGAACTTATAGAAAAATAATTTCGTATATAAGTTCTAAGATCGATTTTAGGTATCGTTTATAGTTATAATTTTATAAATGTGAAGAGACAGATCAAATTAATGTACATCGAATTTTTTCTCGGAGATTCGACCGTATAATCGGTCTGCAAAAGAGTAGCGAGGATGAGCCGAAGCGTCGTTTTTTTCCAGAGAAGTATTACGAAACACGCCTTAACGAGCGAGTATCGCGAGATACGTGGGTATTCTCTTCCTCTCTCTCTTTCTCTCTATTCTCTCGACGCTATATCGCCATAAACATTGCTCTGCTCATGATTGCAAAATAGCGTACATCCTGACAGGATGCATAGATGCAAAGCCACCGACCACGTCGTTGCGTAACTACAATCGTAACGATCGCTATTTGTACTTATTAAAAACGCTACGACGGCTAATCCGAATTATTTCGCTTCTTAGGTTGATGTAGAAGCCGAGGATAACGTTGCACTTGAACAAACAGATAATAAAAAGAGTCTTAATAGCGTACACGAACCATCTTCTCAGCGTAAATACTAACAAGCACTTCATTGAAAATTATCGATAAAATCGTTTGTTAATCACAATCATTGTTGCGGCAGAACGTCCGATAAGTTAGAATGCATGTCTTTATATATTATGATAAAAAAATATAATTGTATAAGTTCGGCGTAAAAAGGATATCGTGAAAATTGATTGGTCTTTTTTATTTTTATTTTTTGTGATCGAAAAGATCTCATAAAATTTTTCCCGAAATGTCGCTCGGCAACATTATTTTACCAACGACGTAATTTCATATATGCCGGATGTATGCAACATTTAATGGCAGGCCGTCAATCAAATTATTGAGCTGAAGTAGATTTGATATTACGAAGTTTTAGAAAATCTCATTTTCCCGTGTTGGTTAGACGCGAATGAGTGAGTGCGCGCGCATACTTAGAAATTTTTTATTCGTAATTAATGCATACGAGCTCTCTCATTATGTTATGAAAAGACGTCGTTAGCAAAGACTGGTGCCGTCGTTACGGTACAACGAGTATGTAACACCGATTCTCATAATCGAAAAAACACGAATTCGAACAAGGTTAGCTTTACTAAAGGTGACCATAGTCACCCAATATTGAACAATCTCTATATATCAAATGTAACCATAGTTATCCAGCAAAATTCTGCTTCAATTAATAACTTCAGGTGAATGTAGAATGTCTTTACATTTTCGTGGCAACCAACACTCTTCTGATGTACTATATATATCCATTTATAATTCATTTTAATTATTTTCATTTAACTTAAATAAGAAACCAATAATTTGCGTTATAAAATGAAACATCAAATGTTATGTTCTGCACTAAAATGTATATTCCACTATAATGAAAGGGTTAAATGGATTTGTCAAAAAATGAAAAGAATTGATAAAGAAAGAAACGATTACACACATCGCGTCATTTTTCTATGGTTCGAGAAATGAAATATACCATATTCATACAATCTTAAAACCGGAAACGGATATACATCTCACATTAGAGGGAAATGTCTCTTACGAATTGTAATTAGCTACCTCTAATGATTCTAACCATTTTCTGCAATGAGTGGCGGGGATATCTAGACGATCGTATGAATGAAGAAGCATCGTACCGCTGGACAGCTTTGCGATTGCATAATCGAACGAATGAAAAAATTTGCATTTTTCGATCAAAGCACGTGTACCTACAAATGTTTTTTTTATTTTCTGTCGCTATGTTAACCACGCTTTTAACGTGACAACGTCCAACCAAATCTAAATTTATAATTGGTATTTTTGATAAATGAATTCGAGTAATTGAGTTTAAATCAATCGATACCTAAAACTGGACAGTATAATGTTTTTTTAAATGCAGTTCTTTGTCAATTTAATCGCTATCATTCTTTGAATTAAATGTAATAACTTTTCAGATTGATTCTTTGCGTAATACGTTTGAAAATCGGTTTAATACTTTCACTACAATAGATTTAATCATCAGTATATTGCCACTGTACGAGGCAATTGAACTACAGAATATAATATTTGCTTCTTTATCGTAGAAATTATCATAGAAATTATTTGATTTTTATTCAAGTTTTTTCAAATTACGATAAATTAGTTATTTCAAGTACAATAAATTGTGAAATACATGTTAGAATATTTAATTTCAACGGCAAAATATAGTCATTTTTAGTAAAGAGCGCTGGATATTTGATAACTATAGTCATCTTTAGTAATGAAAGGATTGTTCCATAAAAATTGTTGACTCGTATCCTTTCAAAGTTCTTACATAGTTGGAACGTCAGAAAAACAGGGCATCCGTTGACGTAGAACTATTCGCATTGCGCTTTTCTTTCTTTTCTTATTTTCCGTAAGTAAAACAAGAAGAAAACAAATTCTGTGATATCTCGAGATACTACAAGCAATATTGTTGTTAGGCACGCGTTAGATGTCGCATCGACGACGCGTTGACGGTATTTTTTCCACATCGCGACGTTTTCAAGGCTGCAAGTCGTAATGGCTCAAGAGAGTTTCTTCGCTCGAATGGAGCATTTATACGCATAGACGATCATAAGCGTCATTAGACCATCACTAGTTTTCTCTGGTTAAAAAATAAAAATTTGTTAATAATAAACAATAATTTGTTCTTGTGCGCGCGTACAAGCTCGTCCCTAACATTGTACAATGACTTAAATTTAAATACTAACTGAAGACAAAATAGTCAGAAATTATTTTTATCTTCGAGAATGTATGTCTTGGATGCTCTCGTGTTTAGTTTACTAACCAAAGTAAAAATAAATATCGATCGTCTTTATTCTTGCGAAAGAAGATAAAACAACTCTTGATGACTTTGCAAGGCTGAGTAGCCGATCGCATATGTGATATCGTGAGAAGTAGTAACAGCAATAATTAACAGTTTTTAATATGCTTATTATGTACCTTACGTATCCATGATACGCGTAAAGATATATTTGAAAAAAAAAAATAATTTATGATTGTAGTTAAAATTTCCCGTTATACAGTTGCACGATCGTGGATCATAAAGTAGTTTTTCCGATTGCGAGGAAGTCGTTTGTTTTAAGCGATGTTGATCAATGAGTCAGTGCTTCGTTTAACTATGTATCTAGATTGCTTTGGAATGTATCGAATGCTTACAATATCGAATGTGCTATCTTTTTCCATAACAATGATAAATAATGTATAGTAGTTTAATATAATATATACATATATACATATATACATGCTTTCAAAACATAAGATGTTCACTCTTTTTTCCTAGCTAGACCGCTTGATTCTTAGGAGAAAAAAAAGTAAAAAAATGCAACCCAGATGCTGATTAGAATAAAGCTATTACATAAGAATGGTTCGACGCAAATGGACGTAAATCTCGGGTATGTTTTTTGAGAAGATAGGCGAGAGCCGAGACCTCGAGTTACTGCGCGCTCTCGTCCACCTCGAAAGTATCCGTAGCTTCGGCTGGTCCAAGAAAGTCAAACGGCAGAACGTGTTCTCTGGAATGCCGTCTGGGTTGGAACATTTGCCAAGAATGGAGAACGTACACCGTCGTTGGGAGATCGCGTTAAGGCGCTATTTAATAGCGCCAAGTGAGATTTATTTTGCAAATTCACTGTCGTAGTCTTCGGTCAAATCAGGTTCATCGTTGAATAGCTACATACAAAAACATAGATACAGAAGTATGTAGGTTTTTTTACTGTTTCTGGATGTTATCTTTCGATGCCCAGATTGTTGGAATCAGCACACGCCTCCGCATATTAAGCAGCTAAATTTAGCGTTAAATAATTATCGTCTGGCATGGTGGGGCATGCTCTAAGAACTTTCTCAGTATCGCGTTCCTTTGTATATTTAGTTTTTTATTTGTTGATATGTAAATCATGTAAAAAAAAAAGAATGATATGTAAACAATTCGTAGTATCAATATCCATTTTAAATATAGTCGTCATTAAAGTGTTTTTGTGATGTAAATGACGTCGTTAAATTTCTCGTAAGACCTCAAATTGTTGTTAATCGTAAATTCCTTATCAAGATAGTGAGATAGGATTGTCTTCACATTTTTCTATATCGTTTATCAAAATTTAGTACATATATAAATATTATAACGAATTTCTTATGGTAGGCTTGCTTTTTTATTTGCAGGTACGGCGAGAAACAACGGCGTGCTGATAGTCAGGAGCTCAATGGTATTCAGTTGCTCTCCGCGACTGCTTATCAATTAAAGAAACCTTATCAACAGTTACTAATACCCATCACGGTATGGATCGGCATGGAGCAGGCCTTCATCGGCGCCGATTTTACTCAGGTAAAATTTCTTGATAAGAAAATAATAGTATACTAATAACGAGCACGTACTTTGTTCCAATCTACATACGTTTTGCTCGTTAGCGTCGTTCGACTAAGTTCGATGAAGTTGCGAGTAACCTACTTCCAAAGAATCTCGAAGGCTGAGCTGTAATGGAAGCTTCTCGTCGGTCGTTGAGCCGTGTGACCGGTCGGTCGTCGGTTTGTCTCTCTTTTCTCTCTCTCTCCTGTTTTTGCACTTTTTACCCTTTTCTCACTGGCGCCATAGATTATCTTTATCGATCCGGTCGAATGATATCGAAGAATCGTCATCAGACTATTTTATAATTATTCTTATCCATTTCTATTCCATTTCTTCTTTTTCCTCAGTTCTTTTTCCCATTTGTTAGCATAATCACCTTTTTTTGGTTTTAATCTTTCGATTCTCGAAGATATAAAGGCAATGTCAATACCGTCGAGAAGCGATTGTTTTCTTCTAGAGAGTTATAGCATAACACCCATTAGCAAGAATCCATAAGCAACGACTCGGTCGACATTGAATTTTTCGAACTGATCATAGGATGGATCATTCATCAATTTGATATAAGAACTGCGATATAATCATCGGAAATTATAGCTTTTTTACAAGATTTTTACACAATTTTCTCGGGAATCCATAACTAATCCCGTATATGCGTTACACGAGTTTTCACTTCTTGAAAATTTCACCGGCTAGAAATAACCTCATACCTTACATAAAGCACCAAGATACCGAAAACGATCAAAACAATCTGTAAATTGTATTAAAGAAAATATTGATTATTCTAAAAGTTTTTCAATGATCTTAACGATATATTTTTTTGAAGAATAAAAAGAAATTTGTTAATTTATTAGCACGATGTACATTTGACTTTAAAGGAAAACAAAAAATTTGTTACTACGTTTCAAATTTGTTACGCGGTGACGATGTGAGTTTCGAAGGTAAACAAGAAAAAATAAAAAAAAAAGAAATGGGGAAGATCAAGAAAATAACCACCGATCTTTCTGACCCTTCGAGGCTCTTCCTGACGTCATTGCACTTTCCATACCAATCAAGTTAAAGTTGTATGAAATGTATCTACGAACCGACCAAGGCGAAGGTCGGTCCTTGCGTTAGAAAGGATTCATCACGGCCAACCACTGCCTTTTTCTAGCTCCGTGTCATTTTCTTGCAAATCAACTTTTTCTCATTTTTTAGATCTTTGTCAATTATTTTAAATATACGCTACCGTCCATAAGTTATCATACACTTTAAATATTATATATAACTTAAAAAAATTTAATATATTATTCTTCACCTGTGTATATGTGTGTATATATATATCAAAATTATATTTCCTTTCATTAATTTACCCTCAGTTATTACTATATTTATTACTATAATTATTTCATTTATATCGTTCATATAGTCACCTATATATTTCATTAATATATAAATTTGTATTAACAAACAAAGCTCTTGTGTAATGCATCAGATGGTTGCTTATAATTATACAGATGCTTTTTGAAAGAGAATCAGCTTATGAACAATAATATATAGACAATATGCACTTGCCTATTTTTAACATTTTCATTGGCTTTTATGTAAAATAATCGACCAATAAATTATGAAATAATGATTTTTAAACAATCGTTATCAAATATATGTATGTATGTAAAAAAGAGTATTCCACTTTTGAATAATGTAAGTTTTCGTATTTTCAGTACAGCCTATACTTTTCGGCCATCTTAAGAGTCGTAATCGTTTGATTCGTTGATTCGAAGGAGAAGAATCGCAAGTACGATAGAACTTTTGCTTCTTTTTCCGACGAAGGTACTCGACCGCGTTAGTTGACGCGAAAAGTGCAACGACTGGTACGATCGAGCAAGCTCGTCTCAAAACTGGTCCGACGAGAGGAGTGTATTCGCCGATGAAGCCGGGTAATTGGGCAATTAAATGGTGAAAGAAAAGAGGGAGAAAGATGATGACCGCTCTCCTCTCCTCTCCTCACTCTTTCTCTCTATCAGACGTGCGCGCATACACTGACTCCATTGAGTCAGCTGGCTCGATATAAATAGCTTGCGATCTTATTCTCGCGATACCGCTTCCAAACCTGAAATGTTATGTACTTGTATCTCTTCTTCATCTGTAACATCAACATGCACGCACACCGATTCACGTGCATCTCCATTTACCCAAGCTCGATCTCGTGAGCGCTTGAGGCTATACAGGATGATTCATATTTCCCCGTTTTCTCTTGAAAGAATATCTATGCAAAGATGGCGTTTTCTTTAAAGAATGATGTTTAGTCGTTCCATAGAATAAATATTTTTTTATCTAAATATTTTATCTATTTTCTTTTATATTATCAAAAAAGAATGACGTGCGATGCAAGAATCGGAGGTACGTCACTTTGTTGAGTGAACAAAATCAGCGTATTTCCTGAGAAAAGCAATATCGGTAGGTAGGATATCGTCCTCAGTGCGAAGGCTCGTTCTTGAATTCTCGATAATTTAAGTTCTTCGACCGACGATGGAATTTAAATTTTATCGAAAGCATTTCGCGATATACGTCAAACACCAAGGGTTGCTCGTAAAACTTACCTGCCTATCGCATTTATATATTGCGTACACGGGTAATAATATATACCCATTTGTTGTTATTTGACCTTTGGAGGAATTTTGATGAATACGCCCTTATTTCAGCACGAAAAAAATTAAAAAAAATTATCTTCAAATTTCAACTCTTTATCTTAATATTAAAGCATGCTGAAGGATTTTTTTACATTTAAATAACAAAGATTTTAAATATTTTTAGATATCATTTATTAAAATAAACAAAAAAAATGTAAAAAATTTAATATTTTTTAAAATTCTATACAAAAACGTGTATTCGAGATACTTCGTTTATCGAATATTAACAATATTTTATGAGCAAAACCCCAAAAATGACAAAAAATATTTCTTGGTATGAAATATTGTTTCGTGAATTCTAGAATATTATTTATCTGTTATTTGTTCTAGGATATGATATCTAAAGATAATTAAGATCTCTATGTTACTTAAATGTAAAAAAATACGTGCTCTTCGGTACACTTTAAATATTAAGATAAAGGATTGAAATTTAAAGAAAATTTTTTTTATTTATTTTGAGTTGAACTGGCAGATACACTCATCAGAGGCCAAATAATGATCACTGTATATGTATAGGGCATATCTATGTAGATATAATGAGATTTTTGCGATGTAAAGCTGTAATACGTCATTTCAGTCATTTTTATATCAATTTGAGAGATATCATCCTTACCATTTCAACAAATTCAGAGTCATGTGCGCCTTTGATTTCAAAATATTCGAGTATCGAGTGCCTATGTCACGGTTCGATTAACATTGTTTACAACCATAGATACAGGAATTGTTGAACAATTAAATGGAAACTATTCTTTTTTTGTCAATCTATTTCAAAATAGTACCATATCATGAAGAAAAGACTCGAATGTAGTTTTGTTTTTCAAATAAACTATTTAAATGTTAAGTCGAAATTTTATTGATCATTAACTGGAGGTTTGAAAAAAGAATTAATCTTTTTTACTTTCGGTTTCAGGCATACATCTCTTGTGCTCTAGGCGTTCACAAAGTAGGATACGTGATGATTTGCTTTGGAGTGGTAAATGCAGGATGCTCCTTGCTCTTTGGCTCTCTTATGAAATTCGTAGGCAGGCAACCGTTAATGGCACTTGGTGCCATAGTTCACGCCTGTCTAATAGTTGTGCTGCTTCTTTGGAAACCACACCCAGATAATCCATATGTCTTTTATTCAGTCTCCGGCCTTTGGGGAGTTGGTGACGCTGTCTGGCAGACACAGGTCAATGGTTAGTATTATTAGTTGATATGCATTTGATTTGGATAGATCAGCATTCAAATCACAAATAATTAATGGTTATCTATGAATTGTTGACCATCTTAAAGCTCCTATACAGTGACAAATAGTATCGTAAGACTTAATTTTTCTAATTTTATCCTTTTCATTTCATTTTACTTCTTGCTCCTCTTTTCGCCATCAAAAATAAAAACAAAGTCAATTACGAATTTGTTTATAATGAAATAAACACAGTTAAAGTTCATAGAGACGACCTACGACGTTGACATGTGTATAGATACATTCGAGCCGATAAAACTTGTTTTTTATGATTTTTTCATCAATCGAGAAAAAAATTTTTGCTCAGTGATATCTTGAAACTTTATCCATATGAATATAGAAAAATTAGGACGAAAAAACAGCTACGGGTCCATCAGTCGTCACTTTTCTTTTTCGATTCAAATAGGTAAAGACGAAAATAGATCGAAATTCATATATAACACATTAGGTTTTTAACGACTCGTAGGATATATCATTACGTCATTAGGCGTAGCTTAGAAATAACAATTCTAATGCTAATTACATTCTAAGCTAATTACATTAGCTTTAGAATATTTGTTCAAAAGAATTCCGATATTTTTTTCTTTTTCTTTTTTTTCTTATATAATCATTGAAAGTCTCAGAAAGAACATTAATAGGTAGAAAAGTTCGTTAAATTTTTACATTAAAGAAGAAAAATAATGATCCTTATCGCAGGTCTCTATGGTACTCTCTTCAGGCGCAACAAGGAAGCTGCGTTTTCGAATTACAGACTATGGGAGAGTGCAGGATTCGTGATTGCATACGCGTACAGTACACATCTATGCGCCCGCATGAAGCTTTATGTTCTATTGACCGTCTTGATGATTGGCACGATGGGCTACATAATCGTCGAACTTCTTCACAGACGTAAACAGAGGAGATTGAAGGCTATCGCTGAGGACCCGAAAGCCGCGCAAGCAGAGGCCAATCAGCCAGAAGAGACAGATGATGAAAAGGACGATCTCGACGACGACATCATCATTACGCATCTTTGAACCGACACATCGACTCGCCAAGTTTAGATGACGCGAGAAAAAAGGCATTTTTCTGTCTTTTGTCGCGTTCTCACCGAGACCGAGGACAATAGAACATTTAGAAACATTTGTGGACGATGTTGAGTGATGTTGGGCGACCCACTTTTCTCCTTCCTTCCTTTCTTCTTTCCTTCCTTCCTTCCTTTCTTCTTTCCTTCCTTCCTTCCTTCCTTCCTTCCTTCCTTCCTTCCTTCCTTCCTTCCTTCCTTCCTTCCTTCCTTCCTTCCTTCCTTCCTTCCTTCCTTCCTTCCTTCCTTCCTCTTTTACTTTTCATTTTAGATCTAATTCAATTTTCTTTATTCTTCTATTAACTCGAATATTAATCCTTTCTCCTTATCTTATCGATGAAATTATATGTAATAGAGTGAAAAACTACGTGCATGCAAAATGACGTGAGATGGTCTTTCGCGATGAAACGAAAGCACCACTTTTCGCGATTCCTCTTGTCGCAAAAAAGAGTTCGGGAAAGGAACGTTACCGTTTATTTGTCGCCTATTTGCTGTTCATTCGCCATCCATTTGTCGTCCATTGGAGACATTTTTCCTTCCCATCAAATCACCTCGTTTTAATCAATAAAGCAAAGACCCATTTTATTTCTTGAACAAATATCAACAACGTAATCGACTTATCAACGGAATTCTATTTTGCTTTTTCGATGATAGGCGGAAAGAAAGCAAAGAGAATCTATCGAATTCCAAGACGTCCTCGTCGCGACAAAAAAAGAAAAAAACACATTCTTTTCGAGATCTTGATCAAATGGAAAGAATAATCGACGTACGTCCCTACCTATTTAGACAGATAGATACATTCGATCAAGATTCTTCTTTGGTGAAGATGACTTCTACAAAGAAACCCTTTACGCTCGACTGCTTTTTCCCGCTAGAACGAGATACCAGTAGAGGAAACTCACGACAATCCTGTCTTCTGGCGACGGTGCTTCCCTACATAAGCTACCATTGTATCTATTTATAGGTATCGCTAACTACTTATCCGTCCAATGTGCGGAGAACCGACTCTGGTCTCCGAACGAATGCCTTCTTCGTCCTTCTCTTTCTCCCTCTTCCTCGCTCTTCTTTCACCGGCTGATGGATACTCAGGCTCGCCCAAACCCGTTCCATCGTGTATAAGAGAGAAAGAAAGAGAGAATATACAATTTTCTTACCGACGATCGTCAGAGTTTAAATTCCGCGAGCTCCAAGCAAAGGGGGAGATTCCTCTCTTCAGTGCATCCTTCTAAAGGGATTTTAGCTCTTTTTTTAAACGTCTGGCGCGAGACAAGGATTATTTTTAGAGTCCGGTTGTGTACCGACGGCACGAATCACGCTATCGTTCGTTATTCAACGAAGGAAGGCAATCGTTTATCTTCGTCCGATTGCCATAGTTTCTCGTCTTGGAGGTCAGGAACCTTTCTGGGCATATTCCAAGGTAGGAAAGGTTTCAAAGTACAACCTCTCATTTCTCTCGTTAGCATGCTTCTCGCCATTCTTCGTCGCTATCCATCTTCACAAAAACATTAATCACGAATCTTTCCTTCAACCAACTTCTTCCGAATCAAAGTCTGAAACTTTACATGAATCTCACGGATTTAATGCGATTTATTGTTCTTTCGGATCTCTCTATCTTACTATTATTACTTGCATATTATATAGTAGATATACATCATTAAAGTTGCGTGATATTGATAAAAGAAAGACAAAGAGAAAACATCTTTTCGACATAAGAGTAAGTGTCGTGATCGACCTTGCGATTTCTCGGAAAAAGAATCGAACAGTTCCTTCATGCTCTTTCAAATTCCACTTGCGCTTCCTAGCGAAAGATCAAAAAAAAAAATGACAATAAAGTATTCTTTCCTTCATGGAAGATAATAAATTACTATTTCGAAAGTAAAATAAAAAGAAAACAAAAATAATTATCTGGGGCAATACAAATTCAATTCAAAGTATTATGTGTTTCTCATCTTCAAACTGAGATATCGAATCGCTTAAAAGTTGCTATGCGCGATAACAGACAATGGAAATATGGTTATTACTGGTAGAATATAACATTGAAAGTCCTACTAAAAATACGCACATTACCATTCTCTTCTTCTTCTATCTAGTTTCATCTATGCTTTATCTTTTTTCTATTCTCTTTATATATACATTTGATAAAAAACTACACCACAAAAACTGTAGTTCTTAAGAAGCGCAAGTTTGTTTAATAAAAATAAAATGTGTAGATAAATATAATATTATTAAGCATAATAATTGTAAGAGTGTTCTAATGACAAATGTAAGACGAAGTTAATA